TTCTTTCATGAAATTTTTTTAAAATTTTGTTAAAAATAAATGAATTTTTGCAAAAAATTGTTCTATTTATAAAAATAATATTGAACTCTTCTGAAGAATGTTATTCTTTATGTAAAAATAATCGAATTCTTGCGAAGAAAGAAAATAGAAAATAATGTTTATAAAAACTCTAAAATAATTGCAAAACAATGAAAACTGAAAATTGAATTATTTTCAATACCTACAATTTAAATTAAATTCCTCAAAATAATTCTATAATTTAAAAATTTTTTTATAAAATTCGTCAAAAGTATTCAATTGCTTTCAAAAGTGTGGATAAAATTCTTTATGAGAAATCAATTATTTTCTTAAATAATTAAATTCTTCGTAAGAATTCAAATATTTTTAAAGAATTGAATAAAATTTCTTGAAACAATTTAATTATTTTCATAAATCTTTTAATAAATTTTTAAATAATTCAATTTCTGCAAAGAATTTTATTTTTTATGAAAATAATTAAATTCTTTCGAAAATGTTATTAAAATTATATTGAAAATAATTAAATAAAAAGAAAAGAATTCAAAGAATTTTATGAATTTTTGAGCAATTTTAAATAAATTTCTAGAAAAATGCAATTATTCTTAACAATTTTATTCAAACTTGACGAAAGAATTCAATTTTAAGAAACATTTAATTATTCGCAATAAAATAATAAAATTCGTTGCAATAATTCAATTATTTTCATATAAATAACTTTTAATTATTATATAAATATAAATTATTTATTTAATTATATAAATAGCAATTAAGTTATAAACAAAATTCCTAAATAATTATTTGCAAAAAAATAACAATTAAGTTATAAAAAAAATTCATAAAATATTTGTTTCCGGAAAGAAAATAGAAAAAAGTGTTTATAAAAATTCAATAATAATTGCAAAACAGTGAAAAATGAAAATAGCAAAAATTATTTTAAAAAAATTACTAAATAATTATTTCCAAAACAAAAATGTAAAAAATGCGACAAAATAATATTTGATAAAAACGAATTCTATTTATAGACGGAAAAAAGAAACTCTTGGACGTAATGCTTTATCTGATTCTCTATCTCTAATTCCACTATATATAAGAGAGTTGTTCTCGGGTTTCGGAAGCGGAAGACCCGGACCTGAAACACCATTAGTTTCTCCCCCTAAATCTCGAGTTGATGGTAATAGAACTTTTGGGAGTCCTGCATTAGATACCACACAGTAAATCGCATGTCACGTTCAGACATTCCACATATATATATCTATACATATCTGTATTCCATTCTCCAATTGAGCACAAGAGGGAAATGACATTTCCAGATATTGCTCTATAGCGCTTTAATTTGATCCATTTTCAAGAAGCTGCGGATAATCAACAAATTTATATCTGGACAAAAGGGTTTAGGAGAGAGAGAAGAATCATAAAAGACCAGTGAAGCCCTCAGGGCGATAGAGCGTGTATAGGATTTGTGGAGCAAGAAAACTTTATGAAGAGACGTCTTTTTTTCATCTTCTTCTTTTTTTTCAAGAAAAAAGGGGAAGTCCCTAATCTACTCAATAAATAGACTCATGAAAATCCAGTCTTAAAGAAATATAAGCAAACTTCATTGAAACCTCTTCAGAGAGAAAAAAAAATATAGGGGGGGACTCGTAAATTAAAATAAAAAAAATACTATTTAATTGTGAGAAATTATTTGATGAATTAGGGACAATATTAATTTGAGAAAATGGACCAGTTAACTAGACTAGAAATAACATTGACTTAAGGAGACGAATCATTAGCTAAACTAGAAGTATAATTTCAACATAAGGAGACGAATCATTAGCTAAACTAGAAGTAATTTCAACTGAATAATGATAAAAAAATTCCCCGTTTTTTTCAAAGTTTTAATTAACTTTTCGATTAATAATAATAAACAACACTCAACTGAATAAAGTAATTTAAATCAAAAATATCTCAACTGCCTGAAACTTTTGCGTATTTTTCATAAATTTTATTACTTTCAGAGAAAATTTTGCTACGTTCGAAAAGTATATATTTTTACAAATTTTTAAAATGTACATTGAACGTAGCAAATTTTGCTTCGAAAATATGAAAAGTTTCTAAAAGTGAATTCTTCGAATTAAGTAAAAAATAATTTTATAAATAATATAAATACTAAATAAACATAATACAAAAATCAATTGATGCAGAAATTAAAAAATTCGTTATTTTCAGATAACTTTGCTGTTTTAAATTATTAATTTAAGGGGATGATGAAAAATTTTAGAAAAAAAATAACGAGCACGAGCGTAATGGAAGAAAAAAATTACTGAAATTACACTTGGCACACGAATTTAAGAATTATTATCGAATTTGTTGTATAAGATTCTTTTCCCTAGCAAAACAATCATCTGGCCCCTAAATAGTAAATCATTTTCAAGTTTAAATTTGACATCCATAGTATATTTTTTCAAGTAGAAAAAATTATTCAGATTATTCAGTTATTATTGACTCGCGACGAAAATTATCATATTAGAGCTAAACTGGAAATAATTTCAACTGAATAAAAAGAAAACTCAGTTGAATTAGAAACGAAAAAAGAAGACCAATGTTTTTTCTATCAAAACAATCATTTGACTTTTTAATTAAACTAAAAAAATTTTCAAGTTTAATCTCAAAAAGTTGATAAACTCATCCCAGACTACTTTTTTAATCAAAAAAATAATTTATTTTTTTTTGACTCGCGATAAATAATAATTACAATAATTGAATGTAAATGTTAAAGTTTTAATAAATTTTTTTGAAAATAATTGATTTCCTAAAAAGCATGTTATTATTTATGAAAATAATAAATTGAATTCTTGCAAACAATTTTATTAGAACTTTCTTAAATAATTAAATTTCCCAAAAAAATGTATTACTTTCAAAACTAATTGAATTCTTGTGATGAATATTGTTATTTATGAAAATAATTGAATTTTGCAAAGAATTTTATTAAAATGCCTCAAAATAATTGAAAATTCGGGAATAATTTTGTTATTTATCTTTAATAATTGAATTCTTTCGAAGAATTATTTATGTTAAAGAATTGAATTATTCTTGGGAAGAATTTTATTAAAATAAAAAGAAATGATTGAACTAATTCAAAAAAATTTAATTTAAATTGCAGGTATATTTAAACTAATTGATTTCTTTCAAACAATTTTATTAAAATATTTGAAAATAATTGAATTCCTGTGAAAAATTCTTATATTTTTGTAAATAATTGAATTCTTGCAAGAAATTAAAAAAAAAACATTTTGTAAAATAATTTGTTTATTCGAGGAATTGAAATTAAATTTTTAAGAATAACTTTGGAAATTATTGAATTAAACAAAGAATTCAATTTCGATTCCTGCGAAGCACTGTATTATTTATGAAAATAATAAAATGTAATTAAAATTGTTATGAAAATAATTGAATGCTTAATTGAATTACAATTCAAGCATTCGAATATTTTTCTGTGAAATTTTCAATTCAAATAATTGAATTATTTTTATAAATAATAAAATTCTTCTCAAAAATTAAATTATTTTCATAAATAATTAAATTCTCTTCATAAATCCAATTATTTTAATGAATAATAAAATTTTTCGCAAAAATTCAATTATTTTCATAAAAAACATCATTGTTTGCAGAAATTTTATTAATTTAAAATTTATTTATAATTTTTAACACAATTTTTGAAAATAATCGAATTTTTTAAAGAAATTTTATTAAATTTCAAGAAATAATTTAATTTTATCAAGAAATTTTATTTAAATTAAATTTACAATAAGTGAATTCTTCCGAAGAATTTTATTATTTATGAAAATAATTGAATTCTTATAAAGAATTTATTGCATTAAAATTTTTTTAATCAATTGAATATTTTTAACGAATTTTATAACTTTTCTTTTAAATAATTATAGAATTTTTTTGAGGAATTTAATTTAAATTGTATGGAAAATAATTAAATTTCTGCAAAGAATTATACTTTTTATGAAAATAATAATTAAATTCTTATGAAGAATTTGATTATTTATGAAAATAATTGAATTCCTATAAAGAATTTTTTCGAGAATTATATCAAAATTTTTTTTTTAATAATTAAATTCTTTCGACGAATTTTATAAAAAAAATTTTGACGAATTGAATTAAAATTGTATTAAAAATAATTGAATTATTGCGAAAAATATTATTAAAATGTTTAAAAAGAATTGAATTTCTCTGAAAAATTTTGTTATTTGTTGAAAATAATTGAATTATTCATAAGAATTTTATAAACATTGTTTTCAATAATTAATTTTCTCGAAATATAATAAATACCATGAAAATTTTATTTTAAATAATTTGAATTCTTGTGGAAAATTTTATTTGTAAAAATAATTGAATTTTTCGATCAATCAATTGAAAATTGTATTAAAAATTGTTGAAATTCATCGATGAGTTTTATTATTTATGAAAATAATTGAATTCTAGATTAGAAGTTTATCAAAAAATTTGTTTTGAAAATTAAATTTCCATGAATTGATTTTTTCGTTTTTTTTAAAATGCTATTCTGTAATTTAATTCCTGTGGAAATTTTATTATTTATGAAAATAATTGAATTTTGGATGAGTTTTATCAATTTTTTAAAAATTGAATTCTTTTGCGAAAATGAAAAGACTAGATATTGAAAATTATTGAATTTCAAATATTTTTCGTAAATAATTAAATCGTTTGAAAGAATTTAATTAGAATTTTTGAGAATAGTTTTTTAATTTCCAATTTTTTGTAGTGGAAATTCTAAAAAAAAATAACAGAAAGTAGTAAATAGTAGTTTTTAGTAGATGAGTGCGAAGCCTGTGTGCAGAATTTTCTGTTTTGATATTTTTTATGTACTGCACATAGTAAATTTACTATGTAAGAAAAAAATGAAAAATCGACTGATTGTTTTCGATAAATAAAATAGACGTCAACATTTAAGTGAGAAATAGATGTATATATACGTTGGAAAATAGTGTTTGTCCAATGAAGTCATGCCAGCTGTTTGTTTATCTCAATGAACATTTCATTCACTGTTTAGGCAGGGTTCACCTCAGTTCCGATCCGCGGCTGAAGCAAAGGCGCTCCCTTCTCCTTCCTCTTTTTTATCCGCACACAATTTCTCCTCTCTCTCTCTCTCCTAGAGTATTTTTACTCAATGATGATGATTCCCAAATAATCAGCAAAGAAAAATCTCCTTCCAAATTAATTGAATTCGCAATTTTCACACATCATCGAAAATGGTTTTTTTTTTTTGGAAAAATTATAATAGGATTTACGACTGCGTGGGACCATCTGTAATCCAACACAATTCCAACATCTGGCAACTCGTACAACTCGTCTTCTTTTCCATATAGTGTTTTGATACGAAACCTCCGTTTGATTCTCCTTGCGGACTGAAAACAAAGAGAACAAACTATATATGTGTTTTAAGAGAATGTGTATATACTCGAAAACGAAAACTGAGAAATCGTTGGCGACTTTTTTTTTTGTTTTATTTTTTGTTTTCGGGGGACTGTACCGGCATGCTATTATCTAGCGGTGTTTCAGAAGAAAACATTGGCGTCGCATCTCTTTACCAGGCACTGCTGATTTTCAAACTGAAAGAGGATGTTCGAGCAAAGTGCACCTTTGGTGTTCCGTCACAGACGGCCTTTGCCTCAAAGGAAGAAACGCCAAGCGTTTTAAACGGACTGCCTCTCTCTCATGACAGCCACCAGTCGGAAAAATATCCTTTGCGGAACTCTCCCCCTTTTCAAACCAAATCGACCATCAGCTAAAAGGATTCATCTCTCTTTCTCTCTCTCTCTCTTTCTGTCTTTTTTTCTTTCCTTTTTGAAACAAGATGATGCACTCCGAAACTACTAAAGCGATTCACTTTTATCTCTGTAAAAAATAGAATATGGTAGATTTAAATAAAATGAAAGCGCGTAGAAACAATAAGAGAATTAAAAGACACGCTTAAGAGCAAACAGAATAGAGACAATAAAAAGAGGAAGAAAAAAAAGATGGAACAAAAAAAATGGGGGGCGAATATAAAACAAAAAAGGGAAAATAAAACAAAAAAAAATGGAAAAATAAAACAAAAAGAAAAAAGAAAATAAAAAGGAGAAAATAAAAAAGAGAAAATAAAACAAAAAGAGGAATATTAAGATGAAAATAAATTAGCAATCAATATAAAAAGAGAAAAAAATAAAACGAAATATTGAAAAATAAAACAAAAAGAAAAAATAAAATTAAAAAGAGAAAGTAAAGCAAAAAGAGGAAAATTGAGATGAAAATAAATTATTAATCAATACAAAAATAGGAAAAATCAAAAAAGAATAAAATAAAACAAATAAAGGAAAAAAAATAAAATAAAAAAAGAGAAAATAAAAAAGAGAAAATAGAAAAAGGTAAAATAAAAAGAAAAAATAAGAAAAAACAAAAGAAAAATTAAAAAGTTAAAATAAAACTAAGAAAAGGGAAAATAAAACAAAAAAGAGAGTAAAAAGCAGAAAATAGAACAAAAAAGGAAAAATAAAACAAAAAATGGAAAAACAAAGTAAAAAAAGGAAAATTGAGATGAAAATAAATTATTAATCAAAATATAAAAAGAGGAAAAAATAAAACGAAATATGGAAAAATAAAATGAAAAGAAAATAAAAAAGAGAAAATAAAACAAAAAGAGGAGAATTGAAATGAAAATAAATATAATATAAAATATAAAAAGTAAAATATAAAAAAGAAAAAGTAAAAAAAAAAAGAACAAAATAAAACAAAAATAGGAAAAATGAAAGAGAAAATAGAAAAAGGGAAAATAAGAAGAAAAAGTAGGAAAAAAGGTAAAATAAAACTAAAAAAAAGGGAATATAATGCAAAAACTAAGAATAAAAACCAGAAAATATACCAAAAAAAGGGGGAAAATAAAATATTGCAAAAAGAATAAGAATAAAGAGGAGAAAACAAAAAAACTAAATAAAACGAAGGAAATGTAAAATGAAAAAGGAAGAAATTAAAAAATAATAAAAAAATAAAAAAGGAAAATAAAAAGAAAAAATAAGAAAAAAGAAAATGAAAGAAGGAAAAACGTAAGAAAATAGAAGAAAGATAGAACAAAAAAAGAGGAATATAAAAGAAAAAATGGAAAAATAAAGCAAAAGGAAAAGAGAAAATAAAACAAAAAGATGAAAATTGAGATGAAAATAAATTATCAATTAATATAAAAAGAGGAAAAAATAAAACAAAAAATGCAAAAATAAAATGAAAAGAAAAAAGAAAATAAATTAAAACCAAAAGAGGAAAATTGAGATGAAAATAAATTATATCTATCTGTATAAAAAGAGGAAAAGTGAAAAAAGAATAAAATAAAACAAGAAAAGGAAAAATAAAAAAGAAGTAAAAAAAGAGAAAGTAGAAAAGGGAAAATAAAAAAAAGAAAAAACAAAAGAAAAATTAGAGAAAATTAAAAATGCAAAATAAAACTAAAAAAAAAAGGGAAAATAAAGCAAAAATAATAAAAATAAAAAGCAGAAAATATAACAAAAAAGTGGAGAAATAAAACAAAAAATGGAAAAATAAAATAAAAAAAGTGAAAAAAGGGAAAATTAAAAGAATAAATAAGAAAAAAGGAAAAACAAAAGAAAATAGAAAAATTAAAAAGGTAAAATAAAACTAAAAAAGAGGAAACTAAAGCAAAAAAAAAGGATAAAAAGCGGAAAATAGAACAAAAAGAGGAAAATTGAGATGTAAATAAATTAACAATCAATATAAAAAGAGGAAAAGTAAAAAATAAAGAATAAAATAATAAATAAACCAAAAAAAGGGAAATTAATAAAGAAAAAAAACGAGAGAATAGAAAATGGGAAAAGAAGAGAGGAAAAACAAAAGAAAATAAAGAAATTAAAAAGGTAAAATAAAACTAAAAAAAGGGAAAAATAAAGCAAGAAAAGAAGAAAAAGAAGAAAATATAACAAAAAAGTGGAGAAATAAAACAAAAAATGGAAAATAAAACAAAAAAAAAAAATAGAAAAAAAAGAAAATAAAAAAGGAAAAATGAAACAAAAAGAGAAAAATTGTTAAATTTAAATTAGAAGAATTTCTAGAATTTAGAATTTCGGAGTTACATTGAAATTTTACTCGATTTTTTGTATTTTTTTCATTCAATCAATTTTTCCTCTTTTTTTGGATCGTTTTCGAATTTTTGATTCATTTTCTCCTTAGATTTGAGAAAAAAAATTTAATTCAAGTTGGATAATTCATTGTTTGTTAAAAAAAAATCCATTGTTTTCTAATTCAAAGATAAAATAATTGAATTTTAATTAATTTCGAATTTCCCGAATGTGCTACTTTTTTATTAAATTTAAACTCTAATAAAAAAATTTTCTATTTTTCTGAATGAAAGTCAAAAAAAAATTCAATCTGTAACAGTGGAATTTTGAAGTAAATTGAAGTTCTATTCTAATAAGAATTCAGTTTTAGAGTGATATTAAAATAAAATATTATTGTCACTCGATTTCTGTTCGAATTTTTTCCATTTTTATCGATTTTACTCTTCTTTTTCCTATCGTTTTCGAATTTTCAATTTATTTTCTCTTCGAAAGAAAAAAAATTCACTTTCTTAATAATTCCGTTCAAGCATCGAAATTGATATTTTATAGGAAAAAAAATTATATTTTGTAGAAAAAATTTTCTAATTGAAAATAAAATAATTATTAATATAAAATAATTATTGAATTCAAATTCCTAGAGTTGTTAAAATTCGAGAATTGAATATGAATAAAGTGGAACAAATGCGGAGAATGGATTTTAAATAGAAAATGGAGAGTCGATTAAATAGAAATGGAATAAATTTTTCTAATTCTCCTTGAAATTGAATTTTTGAATTTTAAACTGAGTTTAGAATCGATTGAAATTAGAATAGATTTTTCGTACTCGATTTCTTGTTTGTATTCGTTTTTCGACTTTTAAAGGTTCGATAGGTCGTCATGAGGGTTCGTCTTTGTAATTTTTTTTTTCGTCCTTACCTTCGAGACTTTTCAAATTGATGCTGAGCCTTGAAGGGTTCATTCTACTTCCCTCACTCGGGATATTCAATCATTTGTAGAAGAAGATTTATTCGATGGGCTTGGCAAGACGTTATTTTACATGAGAAAACAAGAGTAGAACAAATTGTTGTTAGTTTTTTTTTCCCTCTGTATATATAGTTGATTATGAGATTTCTTCTTTTTTAAATATTTATGAGGAAAACAATAATTTTCAAGAGTTTGTTTTCAAAAAATCGTGGAACATTTCTTTTTCTCTAAATTTAAATATAGAAATCGAAAATTTAAATTTTCTGAATTTTGCCAAAAATCCTTTATTTGTTGATTTTTCTTTCTCTTTATTTTTGTTTATTCTTTTTAATTTTTTGTATTTTTCACATTAATTTATTTTTATTTATTTATATTTTGTTTTTTTTTAATTTTTAAATTTCTTATTTTTCTTTTTTTTAATTTTGGAATTTAAATCAATTATTTATTTTTGTTTATTTAAATTTTGCACTTTTTTAAATTTTGAATTTCTCTTTTTTATTTTTTTTTTATTTTGGGATTTAAATTCCAAAATAAAAAAAAAATAAAAAAGAGAATTCTAAAAATTATTATAAAATTTTTCCCATATTAATTATTAATTTCGTTTAAAATTCTTGAAAATCAATATACAATTCATTAGGGAAATTTCTCTTGAATTGATACAATGATCAACTTTTTCGTTGGAAAAAAATTACCTGAGAACCTTTTTAAAATTTTTTCGTTTTAGATTTTAATCCGACAAAAAAAAGAAGATGACGTGTTTATGATAATTTTCTTTTTTTAGTTTTGAATGGATTTCTTTTTTTGTTGAAAATATTGAGAATACCGAAAACAATAAGAAAATTCAACTTGCCTTTCAGTTCTTTGAATAAATCAAGAAAGTTAAAAGGGTTCATAAAAATCTACTTGAGACTTTTATCTCGCTATAAGATAAAGAACGAAATGGAACTTGGAAAATAAATGTCAATAGAAGTTGAATTTTGTTTAAGGCACTTTATCTTCATTTTCGTTTTATTACTCACTCTTTTCGTTTCTTTTTTCTTTCTTTATTTTCTTCTTCGTTTCTTTTTTTTCTCTTATTTCTTCTCGCATTTTTTTGCGTTATTTAATTTATTCTTTTTTTTATTTTTTCCGCAGAGTATTTTTTCTTGGTTGTTTTTTTTTTCTTTTTCTTATTGCATTTTGTACTCTTGTCGATTGTTTGCTTGTTTGTTTATTTTATTTCTTTATTTATTTGTATTTTGTGTATTTCTATTTTGTTCTATTTCAATGTTTATATTCAATATTTTTTAATTATTTCGTGGTTTTGTAAACATTATTTATTTAGATTTGTCTATTCTTTGTTT